AGAGGATAGTTATTGTATAGGTATTAATATCGCTCCGTAGCTAAGTTTAGAGGATAGTTATTGTTTTGGTATTAATATCGCTCCGTAGCTAAGTTTAGAGGATAGTTATTGTATAGGTATTAATATCGCTCCGTAGCTAAGTTAAGAGGATAGTTCTTGTATAGGTATTAATGTCGCTCCATTGCTAAGTGAAGAGGATAGTTATTGTATAGGTATTAATATCGCTCCTTAGCTAAGTTAGGAGGATAGTTATTGTATTAGTTACTGGTATGGCTTCGTAGTCAGTACGTCAGTCAATAAAGTAGTTGAGTTAGTACGAGTTGTATCTTTCTGGCGGTTGAGAAAATACCGTAACACTACCTGTCATCAAATGATTTACGAGTCGTGGAGCAAAATTTTGTTCTTTTATTTTATAGTTGCATTACATTATTTTTGTGTGGAGTTAAGTCAAGTTTACATTTTTTTAATCACAGTTACATCTTCATTCTGTAATCATTGCTAGCATCACATCGCGCACGTCTCGCGCCTGTTTCTTTTGTCTTAGAAGACGCGTGTCCTTTCGTGATGATGTGCTTGTTAATTAATTTGATTTAAGATTTTTTACCAGCGGATTTGTCGTTTCAGTGTAAATTAAATGATATAGATCATTTGACGCGGGCGCTTTCAGTGATATTTGACGCACATTAACCCTTCTCCATCAAGCCGCGCATACATCATTTAAATTTGCACGACTACTGTTGTTATTTGTTTCTTGTTGAAATTAAGAGACATCATTATGTAACTGTGTACATTGCAAGGCTGTCTGATGTGACTCCTATTGCAGCCTAAAACACCCACAATGATTCCCGATTTCCATTTCAGTGAACCGTTAATATAATAACAAATCCCAAAAATCCAGCATTCTGCTCCAAGAGCAACACTGAAGAAGTGTTTACCTTTTAAGATCAAAACTTGCTCAAGAAATCAAAAGTTTGCATTAAAAAAAAACCTCAGGGCCAAATCTTGCTGTTTGGCTGGAAAATGCCCTCTCACTTTATCCGCTAGCCCTTGTTCATCCGTTTGACAAAAGCTAGTGTCGCAAACACGACCTTTGCCTCGTTTATGAGGTCATTTTACCTCGATCGCCGGTACAGATCGAACGCAGTGAGGACTGTACTGACAACCTCGGTCAAGATTCTCCCATACAGACCTCCCGCTCGGTTAATACGAACTAATTAATAAAGCGAAATCTTTTTCAACCTAGTAAATTCTTTATTAACCTAGCTTGTTCGGTCAAGATGGCTGGATATTAGTCTCGATCTATGCCTTTAAAAGAGTTGATTAAACATATCAATCTATCTATCTATTCATATGAGAAAGTAGCCAATACCGTTGAATAGTGCGCAATACACACGTGCAGAGCTCAATACAGTAGGTAGCGAACAAACAAGATAACACATGGTTTCTGTTACTCAGATTGTGAGTTTCGTGCTTACGCACTCATCAGACTATTTATCTATCTATGTATCTATCTATCTATCCATCTCTTTATCTATCTCTCTATCTTTTTTTCAACCTACATGCTAGTATGTTAATATCGTGTCAAGCAATAGCTTGAAAATTCAACCTTGCTTTATCACAAAATGAAAAACCCGATCAAACTGAAAATTTGTAAAAAGATAAGAATTCAACTGTTCTATTAACTTAGTAAACTTAAATCTCATATAGATTGATAATTCCTTATTTCTAAATTTGATGACGTCAAGTGAAGTCCAAGAATTAANTCATGTTTTGACAAATATAAAAAACCAGGTCGAGGGTTCTGAATCTGTTAATTCCGATGCTTAGAAACCTTAGATGGACAAATGTTACCTGTGCAAATCCTGCCATCGCCATTAAATCCAACCTTGCAGCTGCAGTTAAAAGAACCTTCGGTATTGTTGCACTCAGCGTTGACATCACAGTTGTGGGTTTTGGTGGAACACTCGTTTACATCTGTACAAACAAATTCTTTCCGTAAATTATTAAATTTTAAAAGAGTTGATAAAAGCTTTTGTAGGTATGTTCTAATTGGATGAGCTGTGATATTGGACAGGACTGAAAGCTCACTGAAAGTGCATCACGCAGAATGATGTTTGGGGAGCAGTCATCTTTTATCGGAAGGGGGAGGGGAGATTGGAAGGATCACGTTGTTTTCAGGGGGAACGGATACAAAGTTTGATACATAGATCCTAATAAAAGTTTTGTTGTGTATTATCGTTGAGTATTTTTACGAAGTGTGCAGTATTTTGACGAAAACGTAGGGCAAGTTAAAATACAAACAACTACGCCTCAAAACACTTAATATGAGATTTATTATCCAACGCGCCAAATTGTGTATTCAGTGCGGGTGAATTTCGCAGATATCTATTTACGGGGACTGCAAAGCGGAACGCAATCAGCGCGTTGTCTGTTTTCCTCAATTGATGATGAAATTTCAATGTCGTCTAACTGCTTTTCTTTCTTTCCTTTATCTAATAAAACGGATAAATATTCGCCAGCCATTCCAACTCTTCATCTTTAGAAGGATAACTTTAATTTTTCACCATTTTTGTTTGTAACCTGAATCCAATTCGTCACTTGCGCAATGAGAGAAAACCTGTCTTCAGCGTTATTTGTACTCTAAGAAGCACAGTTGGATAATAAATGACTCGTAAGTCATTAGAACACATGTGGAAGAATACGAGACCATGGTAAAAGGATGCAAAAGAGACGCATAATTGTAGCAATTAACATGATTATTAGAGCGCACGTGCAAAGTAACTCTTACCTTTTTCACAGTGGTCTCCCGTGTAACCAGGTGGACACACACACTTGTATCCCTTGTCCGTAAATCCAACCAAGCATGTTGCATTCTTGTAGCACATGTTGAAACAACACTTGTTCTAATGGGGAAAAATATTAAGCCTTTTTTTTTCATAAAATAACGGAAATGCTATTCATGCGAGCAATTTATACTTTTTATCCATAAGGGGCATGCTTGGAGTTCTTCTTTTTTTATGTAACAAATAAAAAAGCTTCGACTTTGCTCTGTTCTGTTGTAAAGGACGACGTAAGCGGCTAGAGAACAAAAGAAGTGAAGGGGGATAAACTTCTTGATACTCTGATAAGAGATACTGTCTCAACCAATCAGAACGCGCGTTATACAGGAACTATATTTTTTTCAATTAATTCATCTCTTTTTCATTTTTAGCCGATTCAGGTGTTCTCAGGCTTCACTTAAAAGGGTTTTGAGATAAAATTGCCTCTGAGTTGCCGAAGACTCACGGAAGAACGAGGAAACTCTATTAAAAGGTACACAAGGCTTACAAACAGCAGCAAACTCCTAAACAAAAACTAAAATAAGATAAAAATAAGACTCTCACCTCCGTGCCCCTATACATGAGACCTGCCATCGGTTTCAGATCATTTGGATGTTGCAAGTGGTCCGAGTCACTCAATTGACACAAAACTTTATCTTTTTCTCCTGCGGGTCCCATGTTGATCGATTTACATCTGTCTTCCATAGTGCACCAATTTCTGCAGTGACNTATAAAAGTAGAATGTTTCGAAAACGAATCTGGGTGGTAGGGCACAGAAAAAAATAGTGGAGAAGAAAAAGCTTTCGACAAGCTAAGCTGACGGAGCTTTCTAAAAATATGTTAGTACCCCGAAATGGTATCTTCATTTCTGTGAATATTTCACCATGTATTTTAATTAATTATTAAAAGGTCAAAATTTGAATTTTTGCCATAAAGATAGTGAATAATGTATCGTGTTATGCCCCCAAAATGTGCTTACTTAGATGATCTCTGAAACTTTATCCCAAGTTGAAAATCAAAACAATAAATGTAAAGAATAATGTCAAGGTACATAGAAGTTTAGAAAACCATCTCTTTTTGCTTTACTTATGACCTCATACCCTATTCATTGTAACCTTCCTCAACTAGATTTGAACAAAAGAAAAATGTGTAAGAAATTCTTTCCCAATTTGAATCATCCTTCCCAAATATAAACAGCCACAGAAAAGAGCCTGTATTCGCTGAATAAAACTATTTGTGACAAACGTAACCCTAGTTATTTTACTGACTTGAGCTAAAGTGCTGGTGCCAAGCTTACTGAAAAAAAAACCAAGCAATATTAGTTCCCATTTTCTTGATATTGAACGTTTTTCCAACTTCAAAGATATCCAAGTCAATTCATTACTGGCCCATTGTTCAAAGCTTCTTTCTTTTATTTGTTATATGCAGATATTTAAGGAATAAAAAAGAATTATTCCACATCGGCTATAAATCCTTTGTTTCCATGCTTAGTCTCCTTTACAGGCTAATTCATTTCAAGAAATGCTGGAATGTTCTGCTCGTAAGCTATTGCATAGATTGCACCTAAGGTTCCTCTGCTCCGAGAGAGGCTATCGAATGGAGGACGAAAAAGCAGTTTTTCTATTTTTTTCTTGATGTTCTGAGGGTATAAAGATAATTCAGATGGCATTAATTGAGTAAGAAATAAATATTATAAATGTTCACCCATTTTTACCAGGTGTCTGCTTAAAACTAGTCAAAAGCCATAAATAGTCGATGGGTTTTTTTCCATCGACGTTATTAGGAAATGTTGGGTTTTTTCTCTATGAAAAACATATGCCTCTCTGAAAAAAAAGAATTAAGTGGATGAGATTCTTACAGTTCTTGTACTGGAATCGCGTCGACTTACATGAAATACAGACGTAAAAATCTTGCTACTAAAAGTGTTTTCGTAACAAGGAAGAACTATGTTTTGATTGAAATTAATTGTAATCTTCCTTCAACGATCTTTTTCTTTACCCTTTTTATTTTAAATTCCGCACATCTTATGTTCTTGACTTCCTTTCTAAATGTGGTGAATTATTTTCAAATGAGTCACTATATGCTGAGTTAGTTTAGGCGATATTTTCTTTCTGAAGGACCGCTCACGGGCCTACCTAACCCTACAGGAGTTCTTTTGTTTCCTTGGGCACGCTAAGTAGTTAGTAGCATATCAACATAGTGCGTCTAAGTTTTCGCAATACCACCCGGGGGACATAATACGGAGACAAACGTCTCTACAATACAACTGATTAAGTTTCTGTTTGCAATATAATTTTTCGCTGTGAACTAAATACAATTTAAAATTTTCACTGTATAGTCTGTTCGAAACAGGTGCCTAAACTTTCAACAAGCACAGACATTGCTTAGATATAGGGTATTTCTCAAATGAAGGAAACGATAACGGAGAAAAAAGAATTGTCATACTCGCTTAATGAAGATCTCGTTCTCTCGAAAGTTGAAGATTCAAGCGTAAATAAAGGAAGATATTACTGGGGGTTTTGCTCATCGATCAAAAATCATGCGTAGTTGTTTCCATTAAAAACCATGAGAATCGAGACGTTTTTCCTTATTTTCCGCATTTTTAGAGATATCTTCGTTTCTTCTTCATAAAATTATTTGAATGAATGCTCTGTTGTTTTGATGCATAGAGAAAGAGCTGAATTCAAACGCTCTTAAACCACCTATAGTTAATTAAAGGCTACGACGATATGAAGTGCTTCTCAAAGTTTTCATACTCATTACCTTTGTTATAGCTAACACCTTGATTCATTTTTACCAATCTAATGGGTTTAGAGACTTTAATAGAAATTGCAAAATATAACTCTTGAGCAACAAAAACCTTTTAAACACAATTCCTCCATTTGATTTTCTCTCATCAAGTTACAAAGGTCTGAATGTTTCCTATTCATTGCCATCCATTATTGCAAAAGTATTCCTTTCCCTTCCGAAAGAGAGCTTTTATAACTTATTTATGATTGTTTAACGATCAAATTGATCTGAATGAATTCTTGTAAAAATTTGAAACTTAGGAAACGTTGCCGAAAAGTTAGAACCAAAATGCCCCAGATGAATTATGTTACAACTGGTCTAGAAAGTTTCTAAATTTTTAAGCACTTTGTGCAATCGTCACGGTAGTTTCCTTCTTCCTCATTTTTAATTAGCTACTCTTGTTGACAAAATACTAAATTTCTTTTCTCTGAAGCTTTTCCGAGATGGTCATGTCAGTTTTTACCTCGGAGCCCTCTCGATGTGGTAAATTAGGATTTTCAAACCCTTGAAAAGTGCATAATTTTTCCTCCCTACTCCTCGGGCCCTTGCTTTCCTGTAAATCCAGGTTTGCATTACTTCAGGAGCTGCCATAGTCTACATTTTCATCCAACCCACACAAAATAATTTCAAAGTTAACTCACCATGGTTTGCAACTGTTAAGGTGTAGAACCAGCCTCCAAACAAAACAAGAATAAATATGAAAGAGAGCATCGGGCAGCGACGGCGGGCCATCTTCAGATTCTTGTCAAAAAATAAAGCGTTTTTAACCCACCATCAGAGTGGTTCGCTTTACAAAAATCTTTTTAGTAAAGTGAGATAAATACAGCAACCATCACTTTCCCATCTCTGGCACTACTAGGTTCTTGTAGAGCCAAAACGGCGAAGTTTAATTTCTACCGTCATTTATTATTAATTAAAATTGGGCGGGATAATAAGTTCCTTAACTGCTCCTGTTTACTACTTTCTTCAAACGTCATTTGTGCATGAAAAATGCCCATTACAAGCCTCTCGTTTTGTAGATTTTTGAAAAAGAAATTTCTCTGAAACATTAATCGAAACGAAATGAAAGAACGACGAAAAAAGAAGAGAAGAAAGATCTAGAGATACTAATTGTTATGATGATTATTTGTACTATCACTCATTAACTTCCCACGGGGAAGTAAAGTCTTAACCATAGAAGACTTTAACTAAAGTAAGCCTTTTGTATTCTATGTCAAAACAGTTCCATAATTTTACAAGCTCCTTAAAAAAAAACGCATTAAATGAGTACTGCGTTTTTTGTTTTCTCATTCACTTGGCATTTGGGGGTGAGGACTGTTGTTTCAGAATGATTATTTAAACATTCAATAAAGAAAAAGTTCTGGAACGTCACGCAATGTGAACTAGGTCCCAAACATTTTCTTTTTGGAACTTTTCCGAACTTTTTTTTATCGCCAATAAAGAAAAAAATGCTATATTAATTTTAAGATGCGAAAATAATTCTGTTTATACGACAGGGGTGCATAACAGTTAAAAAGAAATACTGTCGTGCTAGCCAGGCTTTTAGAAAATTCGTCACGAACATTATAATAATAAAGTGTATACGAATTCATCAAAAAAAGCGGTTTTTTTTGCTTCTTGAAACGACTCTCTCGCACGAAGTTTCCACGTGCCATAGGCTGTTGCCTTTTAATTCATAGTTTTCTATTAAGTTCTTACGCAAGTTTGCAAGTTTTGTGGACGAGGAAATCATTGGCTATGTGAAATAAGAACATTCATGCATGCCAGAAGGCCATGAACTTAAGTTCACAAACGTTTCTTTCTAAATTACGTCATCTCGAATCAGGGTTTGGATCAATATCTGTATATGGGGATGGAAAACGATTAAAAAAAAATCATAATGTATCAGAAGAGAAGAATTTGACAGCTGTAAAATCCCGTTTAAGGACACTAGTGTTATAAAATACAATCCCACCCAGGTTGAATTACTTTGTCAAGGACAGTTTGAGACAATTCTTGTAAAATAATCAATGTAATCTCGCGACAATTTTCATCTTTCAACGCATGGCAAAAGTATTGACATTTTAATCCAACATCAGATGTTTTTAATGCAATGAATAAAAAACTAAGATTTAGCCCTTTTTACCTTCCCCGTTCCACTTCACTCCTTAGTGACTTCATCTCATTATCGTATTTTTCCATCAGTTTGTACAAGTGATTCTGTAATGACGGAATCTTCCTGTTCTTTTGTGCTAACTCGATTCGCAAAGTTTCCATATCTTCCTCAGTTTTCTTTACAATCCAGTTCGTCGTTCGCGCGATGTGAGAAAAACCTGTCTAAGGGGTCCTGTGAAGTGCATATATAGCGCGAGACATTTGTACTTGTCTTGGGCGTTATTTGTACTCTAAGAAGCACAATTGGATAATAAATGACTCATAAGTCATCGGTAGACATGTCGAGGCATACGAGACCATGGTAACATGAATGCAAAAGAGACGATTAATTGTAGTAGCTAACATGATTACTAGAGCGCACTTGCAAAATAACTCTTGCCTTTTTCACAGTGGTCTCCCATGTAACCAGGTGGACACACACACTTGTACCCCTCGTCCGTAAATCCAACCAGGCAGGTTGCATTGTTGTAGAACATGTTGAAACAACACTTGTTCTGATGGGAAAAGATTCTGAGCTTTATTTTACATAAAATGACGGAGATGCTATTCATGAGAATGATTTATACTTTCTATCCATACGGGGCATCCTTGGAGTTTTTCATTTTTTGTGTAACAAATGAAGAAGCCTCGACTTTGCTCTGTTCCGTTGTAAAAGTGCGAAGTAAGCGGTTAGAGAACAAAAGAAATGAATGAGGAGAAACGATTCGTTCGCCCTTCTTAATACTCTGATAAGACGTCCTCCATCAGCCAATCGGAGAGCGCGTCATATATGAACTTT